GAAAAAATGAGCTCGGGGTACAGCCATTGAAATTCCAAAAAGTACAAGAAATTACACCGCAACTGAAAGAAAATAGACTCAAAAGACCTAAAGAGTTGCTTCAATTGGGCGAAAGTGGTGAACTGCAGAATTTGGTTTTCTCCGATGAGAAAACATTCGTTGACCAGCAATTTGTAAAAAAATGATGGTGTTTACTTGCCAAAGAAGTCAGCTCAAAATGTGTACCTTTGTTTGGCCACCAGAACTCAAGCGCCGGCCATGGTGATGGTGTGGGCCGCCATAACAGCTGATTGTCGCTCTCCGCTCGTATTAATCGATCGGCATCAGAATAAATGCCGAATATTATTGCCGCTGTAGAACTTGGACATTGCAACAGAACTCAGCACCATCACACTCAGCACGCGCCAATTTCGAGCGCACAATAGCCACGAAAATCTTCGGATACCAACCCGTTGGACTATTGTGTTTGGCACTAAAAAATACCAGTGTTTCGATCACATCAAGCAAGCGCTTCGTCGGGAATGGGCCAAAATACCGCAGAGCAACATTTGGGCAGCGTGTGACGGTTTCATTGACCGTTTAATGGCCATAATTCGTGCCAAAAATTTAATGCTATGTCCGACATTTTTAGCTTTCATTCAATAAAATTAAAAAAAAAAAAAATGTAAAAATTATGGCGTTTGACTTTGTTGCAGTTTTTTATATCCCCTGTATAGACTAAAGGCCTGCACAAGACGAATTATTTGAATTATGTTTTTTTCGACACACTGACTTTGTCTACTCAATCATGCGCTATGTATTTGAAAAGCAATGACAACCAACAACATCCCCCATTTTGATTCATGTGTGCCATTGTCTAAGGTTCGATCGTGGCATGGCTGACTCGAATATTTGCATGGTGTTCTCCATAAATGCAGGGTGTCAACGATGACATCGAACCGTGTCATCGTCAAATTGTGTGTCATTTGTGTGCGTGTGCTTAAATTGAGAGAGCGTGTGTGTTACCGCGTAAATATACAATTGAATTCAATAACAAAATGTGCATAGACATAAGCAAATGAATAGAAAAAATGAAATATATACTGAACAATCCCAATTTATTGGTGATTATCACAAAATTTTGGTCATAAAAAAGAGGTAGATATTGTTTGCCTATTTTCTATCTACATAAAGTGTTCTTTTAAAATTAAAGTTTGTGGACAGAGATTTGACTATCATTCAAAAACAGAATATGCACAGAATTGATCAATGGAAGTATATAGTGTTGTTACGTGAATTACAGTAGCATTCATTCTCAATTACACCTCACTACCTGAGGCAAACATAAGAAAAATTTTCAGGAGATTATTGTTTTTTATAAGAATTTACATTTTAGATTGTTTCGTCAATAACCACGAAATGTGAAAAATTTGTGTGGACCAATTAGAAGTACCTTTAATATTTTAGTATTCGCCAAGAAATTCTTTATTACAATTTTTTTCACATATCCGAAAAGCAGGTAGCGATTGCACTTTGCCTTCATCACGTGTATGTCTTTTTCGTTGGTAATTGTTTCATAATTGTTGTTGTTTTTTTTATAGAACATTTCTGATGACACACTATTCAACATTCCCTTTTTTGGTCATTACATGTTATGACGATGGGTTTGAGAGTGACCGACATGACGAGACATCGAGCATTTAGTTGGATGTCGCGTACTGTTATGCGTTTGATCAAACAGGGCACAACATGACGAGCGTTTTCTCTCCATGGCATGAACAGAGAAAATTGTCACATTTGCAGCCCTTTAGTATAGACTGAACTTTGGTTTCCGAGGAATTTTAATCGGAATATTTCCAAAACGTGGGGAAGGGGGAGGATTTGCTCTACCTATTTTAGTTATTTTTAGATTTAATTTTTCAACATGTCGATACACGTGTCTTCTTTTTATATCCTCCACCATGGTATGGAGGGTATATTAAGTTTGCCATTTCGTTTGTAACACAACGAAATATACATTTTATACCCCACAAAGCATATATTCTTGATCAACATAAAATTCCATATCGATTTAACGATTTCCGTCTGCCTGCCTGTATGTGTGTGTGTGAACGAAATGAAATAGGTTGATAAAGTTGTACCCAGAAGAGTGTTAGAAATTTCGGCTATATAGGTCTACGTTTTGACATTTGAATTTGCAGTAAATTGCCAGCATGTGGTCTCATTAAGTAAGAAATATCCTGGCAGAGAACTGACAATATAGATCTAAGATTTGGTATAGTTCTCATATTACTGCACTATTTGTGTCACATTTATCACCGGAAAGTTTTCAACTTTGGAATTTGAAGTTTCGAATGGGTACTACGTTCCATAACAGAATATTGATCTTACAGGTCCAAGTTTTCGTATAAGTTCCATATAACAGTAACTCCCTATATTCGGTATTTTGATGATTTTAGCGACGTTTTTCACCGTAATTTCTTCAATTTTCTATTGTAAGATCGTAATGGGTGCTGGAGCCTGTGACCAAAAAACTGCTTGTGCAGGACCAGGTCTTCGTACCTTCGAACGAATAGATTTTGTAAAAATGTATATTAAAGATATTTAGTTAAGTTCGGCCTAGTTAAGTAAATACCCTCCCCTATCTTGAAACAAATATTTTGTGACAATTTGTCTATAGGTTCTGAGTTTCATTATTCGGAGCTACATGTTATTTCTGAGTAAGTGGCTTCTTTGGACAATTTTCTGCAATAAAAGATGGTGCTCACTGCAACCTCTAAATATTAAATAAAAATAACTTCGAATAAATAATACCCAATATCGGGATGTACCATTGTATGGAGACTATGCGAAAATATGGACCTGTATTAGCCAAAGAACGTGGTATGCATTGCGTACTTCAAATACCAAATGTAATCACGCTGTCTTTGGAACGTATTGAGATAGAAGGCTAAAATTTTGCATACATGCATAGTTTGGCAGGTTAAGTTCGTAAATGGGCCTACAACAAAATTGTTTTTATGCAGGTTCACGTCTTCGTATAGCCCCCATATAACGGTACCTACTGATAGTCGCTATCTTGATGATTTCAGCAACATTATTCACCGTAATTGTAACAAATTTCGTATTTAAGGTTCGTAATGGGTACTATAGCCTAATTTCGTATGCAGGTCCAAGTCTTCGTCTAGTCTTCGCCTAGTGTAGTTTTCGGAATTTTTTTTGAAAATTTTCAAGTTCCTTCCATATGTGGAGGGTATTAAAAGTTTGGCCGGCCGAACTTAGCTGCTTTTTTACTAGATATATCCTAACTTATTCCATTCGGAGTACTGATTGATTCTGATTCATTTTGATAATGTTATGCTAATAACGAATATAAACATTGTGGGGCGTAAATTAATACACCCTCCATAACATGGGGAAGGTATTATACTTGTAATTAGAGGTGTCCAGAAAAATAGATAGGTTTATTTCATGGTTTTATAGAACTTGTCCATAAATCAAAATATTTATTTTATTGAAATCAATAACTAATATACGAAATGAAGGTAATAACCAAATATAGCGTTATAAGTAAGATTTTGAAATTCAAATATGGGAAATCAGTACTTTCCTTGAATTCTTTTTCAAAGTCTTTTCCCTATTTTATATATTACTTGTAGCAAGTCACGATTTAGGAACTACTCGTTTTTAATTTTAGATAATCTTCGACTTTTAAAAATTAATAAATTAGTTTACGTATTTTTTTATAACGGACCTTCAATTTCTCGTAAGGAAAGACCAATAGCTGGAATTTTGTTCTATAAAAATATTAAATAAGAAGTATTTCCATTATAAAACTTTTCTTTTGACATTTGTTCTTTATAAACTTTTTTTCATATACCAAACATTGAGGCCCAGGACATTTTTAATAGGAATGTTTTCTCATAGCCCATGATAATTCAACAATTCCTATTAATCCTTTTATTAATATATTTATATATTCAAATTAACTGAAAACGTTTTTGTTTCCAAAACCTGCATATTCGCTTTATATTTTTTGATTTTTTTTTAACTTAAGATAAAGTTTAAAATGTACCAGGTACAAATTGATTCGTTGACTATTAGGAACTATTCGTTTATAATTCTAAATAGTCTTCAATTCCCAATAAGAACATTGGTCTCTGAATCAATTAATTAATAATTTATTTTACGTCTTTTTTATAAAGGACCTTCAATTTATTCTAAGTAAAAGACCAGGTGTTGTATTCTTGTTCTATAAATATTTGAAATAAAAAGAATTTCCATTATAAAACTTTTCTTTCGACATTTTGTTCTTTACAAAATTAAAACATATAACAAACATTGAGGCCCAGGACATTATTCAAGGGAATGCTTTGTCATAGCCCATGTAAATTCAACACTTCCTATTAATCCTTTTATTAATACATTTATATAATCAAATAACTGAAAAACGTTTTTGTTTCCAAAACCTGCAGTATTCGTTTTATATTTTTTGATTTTTTTTATCTTAAGATAAAGTTGTGCTCCTTACATTCCTGGAATGCCCTAAATATTATCCAAGAAAATTTCATTGTCTTCAAAACACTTTGTGTGTGTCGTACGCCCACGCCTCGTTCATATGCATGAGATGCGGCAGAAAATCTTTCTTCCTAACTTAATTACACACTATGAACACTATTTACATAAATTCATTTTCCGAGCAACTACTACTTCAGTAGTTTGACTGACGGTAATAGTTTGTTAACAACATCAAAAGAAAACTCACAGCTTCCAAGGCAGCAACAACTACTACTACGATGCAATTCCCGCTTTGTGTCTTTGGCGAAAATAAAGAGGAAATTATGAAACATTACTCGTTCTCGTAAAATGTTCAGTTTAGTTTTTTCGCTGTTGTTTTGCATAGTTTTAAGTTTTTTTCTTCATCTTTAGCAGAGCTAAGTTTTCTCGTCTTTTCGACTCAAAGCAATTTGTAAAATTTGCCTTTATCTTACAATTTTTTTCTGATTTTATTCTCTTTCCAGGGTGAAGACAGCGTGGAATATTTTCTTGGTCTAACGCCGAGCGGTATTGTGGTGCTGCGCAACAAAACAACCGTGGCTCATTATTATTGGCCACGCATAGCTAAAGTCTATTACAAAGGACGCTATTTTATGCTAAGGATAAGTGATAAAAATGTATGTAAATAAATTGTATTTTAGTTTTTTTTTGTATCTTAATGTAACTTAAACAAGTTTTTACCATACATTGTGTAATAGTTGATGGTTGAGTGTGTTTCTGATGATGATGGTTAACATTTTTGCATTTTAAAAAAGGAGGGTCATTGGAAGCGTGTTTCTTTTAAAAATAAAGCAATTTTCAATTTTGAAAGGCATTTTTCAATGGTCCAATATTTAATGGAAGAAAACAAAATGTCAGATTTTTTCAAGAGACAATTTTTGTATTTAGCTTACGATTGCCACGTGGCGTTGACTCATATTTATACCCTACACCACAAGGGGGTCAGGGTATTATGAATTTATGCACTTGTTTGTAACATGGAGAAGGAAGCGAGATAGACCCATAGTTACTTTTGAGGATCTCCATAGAATCACTTTCTGAGTTGATTTATGCATGTCAGTCCGTCTGTCCATATATTCTTGTGAACAAAATGCTGGTCGCATTTATTATCCGATTAAGATGAAATTTTGCACAAATCATTTGTTTGGCCCAAGGACGAACCCTATTGAAATTGGAGATAATCGGTCAAAATTTAGATATAGCTCCCAAATATATCTTCGTCCGATTTACCTTTTATTGTTCACCAAACGTGTAATAACAGCCCGAATATTATGGAATTTTGCACGTACGATCAGATTGAACCTGAAAATAAGTATCCCGAATTTGATGGAAATCGGTTCAGATATAGCTATAGCTCCCATATATATTGTTCATCCGATTTGTTATATTTGTTACCCACAGCCGTAATATGAACTCTGTAACAACAATATTTGGGGAGATATAGCAAATACAGTTCAGAAATACATTTGCTAAATTTTATGGAGATCGGTTCAGATTTGGATATAGCTCCCATATATAACTTCGTCCGATTTACCTTTGATTGTGCACCAAACGTCTAATATTTGCCCAAAAGGGATGAAATTTGGCACTTATGACCGAATTGAGTCTAGAAGCTCTTATGTCAAATTTGGTGGAGATCGGTTCAGATATAGCTATAGCTCCCATATATACTGTTCATCCGATTTGTTTTATTTCTGTCACCCACAGCCGTAATATGCACTCCGTAACAACGATATGCAGGGAAATATATCAACTACAACTCAGAAATATCTTTGCCAAATTTTATCGAGATCGGTTCAGATTTGGATATAGCTCCCATATATATCTTGCACCAAATGGGCAATACAAGTCCGAATTTAAAAGATACAAATTCTTCGGCATATTTTGTCCCTTGAACTTTAAATTACAATTATAATCATAGCGTGTATGATTAAATTCTCCCATAAAAACTTTTAATTGTTATGCGCAGCTCTACTAAATTAGCAAAGTGGTGTAGGGTATCATAAAGTCGGCCCCGCCCGACTGTAAGACTTTCTTTACTGGTTCTTTATTGTTTTTTTTTTTTTTTTTTTTTTTTTTTGTAAACTCACGGCAATTACATGGAAGCTGTATGAGTCGCCTGATCCATTAAAGAGTAGTGTAAACAAACTGCCACCTGCGTAAATGGTTGAAAAGAGTATGTTATTCTGATGAACTGATGTTTAGAGTTTTAGGCTCGGCTTCGGCAAACGGCAAGAACATGCTCCTTGTAAAAATAATTGATAAGTAGGTTAATTTGTCAGTAGTTACTTCTGCCCAAAATTGGTTAGGAAATCCCATTGGATTATGAAGACCAAGTTTCCTTATAGAACTTCTAGATGAATTATCATCAAAAGAGAAATAATTGTGACACCTCTGTAATGCGATCTCTGCCTTGACCTTCAAGAGGTGTTTTAATTTTATAAAAATTTAAATAACCAAACTTCTGAATAAGCTGCAACATTTTACAACAAGTAAAGCAATAACTGGTGCCAAAGTTTTCAGTTAAATATACCTCTCACAAGTCTCTGGAATGAAAATCTGGATAATTATGTACAGGAAAAGGGTATATAAGGAAGAAATCCATTGCAAGGCTTCTGGGAGTTTTCATATGACGCTATATACTTATATATTTGCTCATTCTACAGACATCCCTCAGTTAGATTGTTGGGACTCCTTAGCTTTTGTATGAAGCCTGACGTCAATAATTCCAACCTAATTTGTAGTATATGCGTCCAACTTAATTATAAAGTTTCCATGCTTCTAAAACTCGATTAAAAATTTCCTGCCTACACAGCTCGACTAAAATCTACCTGGCTTAACGTCTTGTCTGTAAAATAACTCCTTCATCATAGCTTCCAAATGTCTGCAGGTTGTCTCTGGCTTCCAAACGTCTGTAGAGAATGATTTCAGCTCGTCTACATAGACGAGCCTGACAGTCAAGCCATCTAAGACGTCCTGGCATCAGCCTTGACTTCAAGCTCTCTATTGAGACGTCCTGGCTTCAGCCTTGACTTCAAGCTCTCTATTGAGACGCCCTGACTTCAAGCCGTCTATTGAGACGCCCTGTCTTACGCCTTGATAGTCAGTTCGTCTATAGAGATTTCCTGACCTCAGTACTGACTTCCGGCCCTCTATTGAGACGCCCTGACTTCAGCTCTTCTATAGAGATGCGATGACTTCAAGTCGTCCCTGACTTCAGCGCATCACCGCTGGGAATTCAGGTCGTTTTCTAAGACCTCTACAATCACTGGCCATCTATAAATACCCTTAAACTCACTGCTCGCTTTGTATGTTCTGGCTATACTCTCTGTCTTCAGAGGTTGTCTATAAAATCTCCCTGTCCACACAGTTTATCTGTATTGTCTCCTCATGTAAAGAATCATTTCCCTCACAGCTCATTTATAAGGTCTCTATCAGGGCTTATATATTAATTGTCTGTCCCCACATCTTAAAAAAGGGCTGGCCCGCCTATGTCTACGGAAAGTAGACTCACTGGTCTTTATCGGGTCCATGGAAGGAAGATTCGTTGCCTAAAAAGGCTTCTTCCCAGAGAAAACCCACTGGAGGAAAATCGCTCGCTTTTTTTGTCGTCTATAAAGAGTAGATTCACTGGCCCTTAATCTCATCAATGGATAGGAAATTTACATACATTTCCGCTGGTCCTTCAGCTGATCAATGAAGAGTAGACTAACAGGACCTTCATCGGGTCCATGGAAGGGCGACCCCATGGCCCTTTAACGCAAGTGTGGAGTACAGACTGTAAGCCCGTCTATTTAGAGGAGACTCACTGACCTTTCAGCCCCCGTCTATTTAAAGTAAATCTTCAGTTCGCCTAGGTATAAGAGACTCACTGGCTGTTCAGCTCACATATAGGGACTTTTGGCTCATCAACTCGCCTATGGAAGATTCTCATTAATTCTTCAGCGCGTTTATGCAAAGGAGACCATTCCATAGCTGAGCATTCAATTTGTGTATTGAAGGGAGACTCGCTGGTCCTTCAGGTGGTCACTGATGGGAAGACTTACTGGCTTAAAGACTTCTTGTCATTATAGCGGCTGTATTAATACTCCATAGTCTGTACATGCCCCACGCGTTTACAAGTAGACTTTAGGCACTTTCTGCTTGCGCATATTTTCCAGGACTTACTGCGTTGGCAGTTTTTCTAAGAAGCTCCCAGGTCATCCATAAGGCCTCCTTGACTTCACATTTTGCGTAAAAGGACTCCCTGCCTTTAGCTCCTCAACTTCTCGACTTATTTAATTTTGAGACAAATCTGTGAGCAAATTAGGGTTGTAGCACTGTGCAATCTTCCAATACCAGTAATATGACCTCTAGGAACATTTAGTCCGAAATTCATAATCTAAATTTAAGGAACATTAATGTGCTCAGCGGTTATGCTTCAAACGTACTTTCTTTTATATTCCGTCACATTTATACAATGCTGTGTTAATGTCTTAAACTCCATAAATGGATAAAGACTGATAATCATCATAAGTTCTGTTGGCGGTTATTAGCGTCAATGTGTCTTCTATAAAGGACCATAAAAATAGTATTTTCTTTTGTTGCAAATTCCTTCATCTGACGACAAAATAAACTATAAAAAGTTTCACATTTTATGACGCGCCTTTCTTCGTTAAACCACTTTTCAAGGGTGAGTAGAAATGCTTTTAGAAATTTCCCATACATTTCTCTTATAAAGTTTTCCATGTTGCATTGTTGTTGCAAAGAAAACTTTCTTAACGCGTTTTTCTCAATATGCTAACAATATTCAGTTATTTGACAGGAGTGGAGGAGTTCTTTAACCATCATCATCGTTTGATATCTTGTTATTTTGTCAAGTAGATAAAGTCTAAAGACATTTTTTTTTTTCGAAAAAAAAAAATAGTTTCATACTTAAATTGTTTCTTTTTTCTGATTCTTTTTTTTCTCATCTTTTATCCTTTAGAACGAGTTGAGCACTTATGGTTTTGAGACACCTCGCAAATCGGCTTGCAAACATCTATGGCGCTGCTGTGTCGAACATCATGCATTTTTTCGTTTAATGCGTGTACCGCCATCGTTGCCAAATTCACCGACAAACACTTCAGATATTTTTCAATTGGGCTCGAGACTGAAATGCAGGTAAGTTTATCTATCCATTTCTTTTTTGTTTGGTGTTAACTCTTAAGATATTCAATGAAAAGCTGCTGTGGTAAGACATCTTCAAATATTTCGCATACTTTGTGACAAATTTTGCGCTTTAGACAAAACCATTTTCAAAAGTTTTGCTTGAATGCAAGCCTTTGTATATGATGTCAAGCTTAAGTAAAGAATAGCAAGTGGAATGAGGGAGGTTGATTCTTTTGGAGGTATATGAGTATTGAACATCTAAGTCATTATTGAATTTTTAAAAAGAAATAACTTTTGAATAAATAACAATTTATAAAAACCACAAGGAAAACTTAATGGTAGCGGCCATCCAGGAGACGAGACCTTGGAGGTACCATGATATGGGCCTCAGTATGTTAATTTATACATTTCCTGCATGGTAGATACATATTCTGATAATCTGCCGGTTATTCAATAACTATATGGACCTAAAATGTATAAATGTAAATGTAAAATTTTTTCGACCTTTTTTATTTCATTCGGAAGCTATAGATGAACAGAAAGATAGATGCAAGGACATGACTAAATCTACACTGATCAAAAATGTGTTGCAAGGATGATCAGACATCGCCCTGTGATTCAGAGTTTAATTTTCCGAACCAAATCCTCATTTTTTGTAATCACCAATATCTGAAATCGGTGCAAAAATATCAAAACTAAATAGAAAAAAATATGTCTTCAAAAGACACCTTCGTCATGGCTTCAGAATATATGCAGTTAGTCTCATGCTTGCGGACGTCTGTAGAAAATCCTTGACTCCCACTTGTCTGCAGAAACTTCTTACAAACCCCCCCCTTTTATTTGAGACTCTCTGACTTCGGATCTTCTATAGAGACTCCTGATTTCAGCTAATTCTAGAGACGTCCCGACTTATGTTCGTCCACAGTGTAGTCTTAATTTTAGGTCGTTCCTGTCTTCGGCTTTTTCGTTGAGACTCTCTGACTTCATTTCCTAGAGACCACAGCGCATCTCTAAAGACCTAATTTCAGGTCGTCCCTAAAGATGGCCCGAGACACAGTGACATCTGGTCAACGCAGGCCTTCCCTTAAACTCACAGCGCGCCTTATAAGATTCTCTTTTACAGAATGTCTATAAAGACTCCTAGACCACATTGTTCGTCAGTATTGTCCTTACCTACCCTAAAGAATCCTTTCCCTCATGACTCGTATATAATGTCTGCCAGTCCCCACTGCTTTCTAATAAGGTTCCCACTTTTGGGGTAGGTTCACTGGGCCTTCTGCCAAGGAAGGGAGAATCGCTGGTCGATTTCACAAGTCGTATATGGAGAGTAGATTCGCTAGCCCTTCAGCATGTTTATGGAGAGTAGGCTCACTGGCGCTTCAAGCCGCTTATAAATGTGGCTCTTCAGGTCGCCTATGGAGAGTCGTCACTGATCCTTTAATCGTCAATAGAGAGGAAACTCACAGGGCCTTCATTAGGTTTGTGGTTGGGAGACTCGTTGGCCTTTCAGCGCGTCTACTAAACGGAAACTCATTGTCCCTTAGCAGAAATGGTTCGAAAAGTAAAGAAGCGACTTGATCGAAACTCGCGTCGCAGTGGCCGAAAAATGGCTCGTGAGCTGAACATATTGCAATATTTCATTCGGTAATTATTGAAAAATGAGCTCGGGGTAAAGCCATTGAAATTCCAAAAAGTGCAATAAGTTACACCGCAATAGAAAGAAAATAGGCTCAAAAGAGCTAAAGTGTTGCTTCACTTGGCCGAAAGTGGTGAACTGCCGTATTGGGTTTTCTCCGATGAGAAAACATTCGTTGTCTAGCAATTTGTAAACAAACCAAAAAAATCGTGTTTACTTGCCAAAGAGGTCAGCTGAAAATATGCACCTTCGGTTGGCCACCAGAACTCAAGCGCCGGCCATGGTGATGGTGTGGGTCTCCATAACAGCCGATGGTCGCTTTCGGCTCGTATGAATCGACCGTAACATCAGAATAAATGCCGAATATTATCGCGAAAATATTCGGAGGGTGTACGCAAACATTTTGGCCGCAGACCTTGGACATTCCAACAGGACTCAGCACGCGCCACCTAAGAATGGTTACAGAATAAGGATCCTCGCTTCATTTCCAGCGCACAGAGGCCACCAAAATCTTCGGATACCAATCCGTTGGACTATTGTGTCTGGAGTATTTTTTGAAAGCAAGGTTGGCACTAAAAAATGCCAAAGTGTCGATCAAGCAAGCGCATTTGCCGGGAATGAGCCAAAATACCGCAGAGCAACATGCGGGCAGCGTGTGACGGTTTCATTCGCCGTTTGTGGGCCATAATTCGTGCCAAAGGTGAACAATTCTAAACAATCTAAACTTATTCTAAAATGTGACTATATTTCCGACATTTTAGCTTTCATTCAATAAAATTGAAAAAAAAACTGTAAAAACTATGGCGTTTGACTTTGTTGCAGTTTTTTATATCACCCTGTACATCTCACTATTTCTATTTCCATTAATTTTCAGGTACTACTGGCTACAATTTTGATTATTAATAAATCACATATATTGCGAAAAGTGCCCACACTATTCACGCTTAATTCAGGAACGAAAATGTACAGTATCGGTCTACTCCTTCTTGTACCTCCAACTGAAAGTACAATTAATCGTCGATTTTCTCCAAACTTCGACAATTCAATATGTTGTCCAACATAAGTAAATAATGTATAATTTGTGCTTAATTTTCTGAAAACTTTGAAAGTCTCAATATTTCTGTTTATATTACACCCAGTCTGAAAATTAAATCATTCTTTTCAATATGTTTCTATACCCTCCACCATATTTAGTATGGAGGGTATATTAAGTTCGTCATTCCGTTTGTAACTCATCGAAATAATCATTTTAGACCCAACAAAGTATATATATTCTTGATCAGCGTAAAATTCTAAGACGATTTAGCCCTGTCCGTCCGTCTGTCCGTCTGTTGTAATCACGCTAAAGTCTAAACGAATTAAGATAGGAAGCTAAAATTTTGCACAGATCTCTCTTTTGTCTGCAGACAGGTCAAGTTCGAAGATGGTCCAATATCCAATTTTTCAATGGAATTGTCTTAAAATCCACACAAGTAGTTCCTTGTGAGCACTTTACCCCCGACAGAGATTTCTCTATATAGGTCCACAATATCGTATATCCCCCATATAACGGTACTCCTCTATATTCGGTATTTTGATGATGTTAGCCACTTTTTCCAATGGAAATATCTAAAAATCCACATAAGGAGTTCCATGTGAGTACTTTACACCTAGACATAGATTTGTCATTATAGGTCCACAATATCGTGGCATATATCGGCACCTTCCTATATTAGATATTTTAAAGATTTTAAAAGAATTTTTATTGGATTTATTTTTTTTTGTGAAAATTTTCTAATTCGTTCCAAATGGTGGAGGGTATTCAAAGTTCGGTCCGGCCGAACTTACTGCTTTTTACTTGTTATTTCATAAAAAGTGAAACTTTAAATTGATGTCGCTGTGTTCTTATCGCTTCTAATTCGGCATTTCATAACGGTACATTTATAATATTGCCTGCTACCATACGATGGACTTCATTAACTTGACAATTTTAACATAGACTTGAAATATTATCCCAAACTTTTTCTACGATTCCCACATGTCCTCTAAATAACCTTAGAACATCTAATCTATTTAGTTGTCCAAATTTCGTTATACACCCCCAACTCTTCTTTCATTTCCAACTATTGAAAGTTTTACACTTAAGCTCTCATATTTGCCTGATCTGAAACATGATTCGGTTTTTTTTCTGCCCCAATATTAGCCAGTTAATTATTTTAATGATATATTTAAGGAATACCAAGTCGAAAACTTTCAAACATAATTTGTTGGACAAACTTTTGATAATTGAAATGAAAACTTTGCTACGAATACAGGGGATGCTTGCGAGTGGTATATGTGTTGTTGTCTGTTTTCCTCGACTTGACTTCATGCATGAAGTTTGACTTCACCATGTATGGTGTGTACATGCAGATGAAGGATGTAAATCCTGGAAACATGACAACTCGAGTAACAACAAAAACAGAAACATGTGCATTTTCTAATTAAATTACTTAAGGAAGAACGAAGAACAAAGTTTATTTTCACAGTTTTTTTCTCCATTTTTGTTTGAAAGGAAAGTGTGTGGTTGGAACTTCGTGTAGAGAAAGTTTGTGTATATTGCACATTGGCAATGCATTTACAATAGGGTAGGTCGAATTTCCATAAACAAGTATAGGCAAGTAGATATATTCCCCAAAAGGGTGCAAATTTTGTCTCGATAAGCCGCCTGTCCGTCTGCCACATCTATATGAATTAAATTGTAAAAGACGAACGACTGATTGTCTTTTTAACACCCAAAAGATGGACTAGGCTAAAATTTTTCAAAATTGCTAGTTGGCAGCTACAAGTACTTTTTTAACCTGGTATGGGGGGAAAAGACGAGGTTTTTTGAAATTCGTACTAAAAATTTTATTTTGGATCAAAAATTGTATACTTTCAATTCTAGAACCATCAAATTGGAAATTTAAACTGCAAAATGTACAAAAAAGTTCTAAAAATGTTTGTCGCTAAATTCCAAACATTTAGAGTTAGAATCATCAATTTACATAAGTTATAGTCATCCGATATGGGTACAGATTACCATTTAAAAGTACTAAATAATGTACTATGAGGAGAATAAAAAAACTAAAATTGTCTGTGAAAATAAGTTTCAACAATTGTTTTTTTATACAAAAAATCAAAAATGAAGGGAAATGTAAACTAGTAAAGAAAGTCCTAAAATCGGGCTGGGCCGACTTTATGATACCCTACACCTACACCACGCTAATTTAATAGAGCTCCACATAACAATTAAATTTATGGGAGAAATCAATCACGCCATGATTATAATTATAATTTAAAGTTCAATAGACTAAATGTGCCGAAGCATTTGTATCTTTTAAATTCGGACCTGTATTGCCGTGCAAAATTAATTTGAAATCATATAAAGATATATATGGGAGCTATATCCAACTCGGAACCGATCTCGATAAAATTTGGCAAAGATATTTCTGAACTGTATTTGATATATTTCCCTGAATATCGTTGTTACGGAGTGCATATTATGGCTGTGGGTAACAAATACAAAAAAAATCGGATGAACAATATATAAGGGAGCTATAGCTATATCTGAACCGATCTTCATCAAATTTGGCATACTAGCTTCTGGACTCAATTCGGTCGTAAGTGCCAAATTCCATCCCATTTGGACAAATAATAGACGTTTGGTGCACAATAAAATGTAAATCGGACGAAGTTATATATGGGAGATATATCCAAATCTGAACCGATCTCGATAAAATTTAGCAAAGGTATTTCTGAGCTGCATTTGATATAATTCCCCAAATATTGTTGTTACAGAGCGCATATTACGGCTGCGGAGGACAAAAATAACAAATCGGATGAACAATATGTATGGGAGCTATAGCTATATCTGAACCGATTTCGATTTCAAATTTGGCATACTTATTTTCAGTTTCAATCTGATCGTACGTGCAAAATTCCATACTATTCGGACTGATATTACACGTTTGGTGCACAATAAAAGGCAAACCCGACGAAGATATATATGGGAGCTATATCTAAATTTTGACCGATTATCTCCAATTTTAATAGGGTTAATTCTTGAGCCAAACAAATGATTTGTGCAAACTTTCATCTTAATCGGATAATAAATGCGACCTGCATTTTGTTCACAAGAATACATGGACAGACAGACGGACGGACGGACATGCATAAATCGACTCAGAATGTGATTCTATGCAGATCATCAAAAGGAACTATGGGTCTTTCTCGTTTTCTTTTGCCTGTTACAAACAAATGCACAAAGACATAATACCCTGACCACCTTGTGGTGTAAGGTATAAAAACGTGAAGGAGGCGAGAAATTTAACTTGGTATCACTTTTGGTGTTAGGAGTCGAAAACTTCTACACTTACAAAATTTAAATAAAAAAGCTGTGAGTTCGGTTGGGCCGATCTTTGAATACCCTCCACCATTTGGAACGAATTTGACAATTTTCAAAAAAATAAAATCCGTGATCCGTGCAATTCTGTTAAAATCTTAAAAATACAAAATGTAGCCGTCATATTAGGGTATAAACGACGACGTGGACCTGCATAGGCAACAACATTCAAATGCGAAACTTGAAAAAAATCGGTGAATAATGTAGCTATGATCATCAAAATACCGAATAACTCTGTCATAGGCTGTAGTATCCATTACGAACTTCAAATACCAAATTTAAAACAATTTCGGTAAATAATGTCACTAAAATCATAAAAATACTGAATATCGGGAGGTACCGTTGTATGGGGGCTATACGAAGACGACAAGACGAAGACAGACAATTTTCTGTCATAGGCTGTAATACCCATGACGAACTTCAAGTACCAAATTTGAAACATTTCCGGGATATAATGTCCCTTAAATCACCAAAATGCCGAAAAAGGGAGGTGCTATTATATGGGGGCTATACCAAAACGTGGACCCACATGACCCATTTTCAATACCAAAATTCGTGCAGACATAATACAAATTTGAGTAAAATTTTTTGAACCTACTTCATTTCGTTCGGAAGCTACAGCGATTTCCACAGGCGGATGGACATCGCTAAATCGACATCGAATATATACACTTAGTGGGGTCTAAAATGCATATTTCGAGGTGTTACAAACGATGGAGGGTATAAAAATTCTTCGTACAAATTATAATTATTTAAATAAATTATAAATTATGAACCAATGATTAAAGTTGACATATCTCTCTCTGTTTTGTTGTTTTTTTCCTTCTCTCCCACAGCAAAGAAAAATCCTCGAAGGAAGCACTTTTTATTAATCGTACACCTCCAACATTTGTGCGGGTTCCCTCAAAGCGGCAGCCACGTCGCATAATGGATGACTTTCTGAGCGGTGGAAAGAAACCCGAATTTGGAAGTTCAGCATTTCTAAATGCCAAAAATGTCAGGTAAGTATTACCACACGGCCTTTCCATAGAAAGTGGGAGTGGTGTGTGCAACAGTAATGCCAAAAACAATAACGATTACATTATTGCAAATCATTTTCATTTTTCATCATAGGTAACATGCAAACAAAGCCACGTGTATCCTTGTAGACAACGTCATATCGTCAAAGCAGAGGAAATTATAAGCTTATCGTTATTGCCCTTTTTGTTCGTTGTCAGTCATTTTGTTTGGGTTTTGATTGTGTTTTGGTGAAATTTGGTTACATTTATTTTTGTTACTTTAGGGTTTTGTTTACTCCCGGTCTACGGATATTTGTTTGAGAATTGCCTCATAATTTTTGTCTTTTATGGTTAGCCTTGTACGTTTTCTATGCTCGCGTTAGTAGTGTGGAGGAGGAGAAGGAATTCAATTGTTACAGTGCCATGACAAATTGCTGTCATGTCTAGACAGTACAAAAATTCAATTCGTTTTCAATGCGGAGAAAGGTATGGGATTTTCCTGGGTTTCTTTTTCGTAGAATAAATATATCAACATGAACGCAATATTTCTAAGAAGAACGAAAAGATGATGAAATGCAGAATAATGATTTATTTTTTAAATACTTTATTTTTAAAGCCATTTTTAAGAAGATCGCCATTTATACTGTGCAATACAAAAAATAATTACGGGAAAATCCAGCAGATTATGAAAGTAGAGTTAAAAAACATCGCAAAGTAACATAATAAAGGTGGCAAGTTCCGAAAACGAAAAATATTTTGGTCGAAAATGTTAACCCTCGAGCAAATCAACAACAGAGTAAAAAAGAGAGTATATATTTCCAATGCATTCTGCAATATTTTTGCATCACCTGTCGGCAGATGTCACTATGGTTGGTTTTGGGACAGTAAAGTCACTCAGGGCTAGTGAAGTCACTCGACTTCGAAAACAATTTATTCATTTTCATGCTATTTAAGTTCTATATTTTAATATTTCACGACACAGTTGTGCAATGTCAATGTCAACAAAGCCACTGTTTCGTTTTCAATTGATAAATAATAATAAGCCCAAAAAATATTCAATATTTTGTTTTTTGAAAGAATGTAGTGAATAAACTTATGAACTCTCACAGCATGAACGACATCTATTGAAGCACTTTCTTCGAAGATAACAGATGAGACAACTTTTTAGTCTACACATTTATTAATGTTAATGATCCGAAAAAAAAAAAAAAAAAACGAAAATATCTCTTAATTTTTTTAACAAATTTTCTTCGGATTTTTTCGACTTAACGCTGGAAAGTTTCATATAAGAAATATTCTGCCCAAAATTTTACCATAAAACTCAAAATAAACTATATACAGGTTGAGATAAAAAAACTGCAAGAAAGTCAAACGCCATAATTTTGACATGTTTTTTTAATGTCATTGAATGAAAGCAAAAATTTTGGTGGCCATTGTGCGCTGGAAAACCGGATATCCGTGATACTGAAATCTTATCCGATCAATACCAACTTTTTAGAAATGATAGATTAAATAAAGTTGGTGGAGGGGTACTCATAGCAGTTCACAATTCCATTTCCTCTGAGCGTGTTATGCTTACTGATAGTCAAGATGTTGAATTTGTATGTGTGAAATTATCTTACATTAACCAAACTATTTACATAACATGTTCGTATATTCCTCCAAATTCTGATTCAAACATTTATTTAAAACATTCTGAATTAATTAAAAACGTTTCACATATTCACTCGCCAAATTCTGAATTAATTTGTCTTGGAGATTTTAACTTACCAAATACATCGTGGATCCTTGATGATGACACGGCACATTATGTACCTGTTTCGTCAACAGTACGGTCTAACGATATGGAAAATTTTTGGCAAAATATTTTTGACCAAGGTCTATATCAACTCAATAATATTTATAATTTTAAAGGTAAAATATTAGACTTAGTGTTTTCTTCATCCGTTAATACTTCATTAAGTAAATGTTCACCTTTTGTAGAACCGGAAGATAAATATCACCCAACACTTGTCATAGACCTTGAACTTAATATTCAAACAAATTATGCAAAACCACAAACTAAGCCTCACAAATTAAATTTTTCTAAGACTAATATTAATCTCCTTCGTTCTATATTGTCCAATTCAAGTTGGTCTCATGAAGGTGACATTGAATTGCAAATTTCAAATTTTTATATCGTACTTAAAAATGCGTTAACTATATCAGTTCCATTATTGAAGTTCTATTCTGACTCAGGACCAGTTTGGTTTACCCCACATCTTAGGCGCTTGCGCAACATAAAAAGTAGGTTATTTAAAAAATTTAAAGAATGTAATACCACTTTAAATTATACAAAATATTCACAAGCTCGAAGTAAATATAACATTGAAAATTTAAAGTCTTATTCGATTTATTTAAGAAAAATGAAAAATAACTTTCAGAAGAGTCCTAAAAGCTTTTATAAATTTGTAAATTCAAAACGTAAAGTCCGCGAATTTCCTAGTAGCATGAAACTTGGTTGCAGGGAATCAGGGGACCACCTTGAAATAGCAAATTTGTTTGCTGACTTTTTTCAAAATACTTACTCTAAGCCTTCATCCAATCATAATGACAATTATGCTTATAATATTAGTAGATTAAATTATTTCCCCCAAATTATTCTGTCTGAGGAGGAGGTTTTAAATGGTCTTCTATCGTTAAAAAGTAGTAATTCCCCTGGTCCTGATGGAGTACCTGCTTACATTTTAAAGTCATGCGCATATGAGCTTTATTTACCTCTAACCACTATATTCAATTATTCTTTGACATCTGGTTATTTTCCTCAAGTATGGCGATCTAGTTTTATTATTCCTTTGCATAAAGCTGATAATAGAAGTGTCGTCGAAAATTATAGGGGTATTGCAAAATTAAGTGCAATACCGAAATTATTTGAGTTTTTAGTCTCGCGTAGACTAACGCACTTTGTTTCGTCTATAATATCGCCTTACCAACATGGATTTGTAAAGGGTAGGTCAACTGTAACTAATTTATTAGAACTTATATGTTATGTACACAGGGGGTTTTCAATAAAATGCCAAACTGATATTATATATACTGATTTCAGTAAGGCTTTTGACAAAGTGGATCACTTATTATTATTACATAAACTTGACAAAATGGGTTTCGCAACATTATTTTTATCATGGATATCATCTTATTTGCAAGGGCGTACACAGAGAGTTTCTTTCAATAATGTTCTTTCTAAACAGATAACTGTGTACTCTGGTGTCCCCCAGGGTAGCCATTTAGGTCCTCTACTTTTTGTATTGTATCTAAATGACCTTCCAACGGTTATACGTTACTCTAAGATCCTAATGTTTGCTGATGATGTCAAACTTTTTTGTAATATGAACTCTCACATTAGTTCCCTTAACTTGCAACATGATATCTACTGCCTTGTTAATTGGTGCAGTGCTAATGGTATGACGCTAAATCTCAAGAAATGTAAAAAACTGTCTTTGTTTAGAACACAACCTTTTAAAAGTGATTACCTCATTGGTTCTTACAAATTGGACAATGTAGACTCATTCGTTGATCTTGGTGTAATTTTAGACAATAAATTGCGTTTTAATTTGCATATTGATTCATGTGTAAATAAAGCCAAGTCATTGCTGGGTTTTATAAAAAGATGGTCAAAAGAATTTCACCATGGCCGGCGCTTGAGCTCCAGTGAACAACCGAAGGTGCACATTTTCCGCTGACCACTTTGGCAAGTAAACACGATCATTTTGTTTGATTACTGCTGGACAAATTTTCGGCAGTTCACCACTTTCGGCCAAACGAAGAAACTCTTTAGCACTTTTCAGTCTATTTTCTCTCTGTTGCGGTGTAAGTTCTTGCACTGTTTGGCATTTCAATGGCTTTCCCCGAGCTCATGTTTAATATTTGCCGAATGGAATATTGCGATATGTTCAGCTCACGAGAAATTTTTCGGCCACTGCGAAGCGAGTTTCGATCAAGTCGGTTCTTTATTTTTCGAACCATATCTGCTGATGTTGCTGTTTTCTTCCGTCCACTTCCTTCACGTCGGGCTGCGCTACCAGTATCACGATAACGAGCGATGGTGTGAGGCACAAAAGATTTATTCACATTTAAATGTTGGATAGCTCTAACGATATCCACTTGTGGTTTTCCAGCCAAATATAAAGAAATCACACTATCACGCTTGAATTCCATCACAAATAACTTTTTTTCTGGAAAATTCTCACCAAAATGCTTTGGTATGCTTGTAAACAAGCTGTCACCGGACGAGTGGCTTAGAGATGACAGCAGTCTTAAGTTAGTTGAAGTTTTTTCATCTCACCCTGTATATGCCCAAATAATATTAAGCATTTTTAAAATAAAGGCTAAACCCAAATTTGAAGTTAGTTTCCCAATAAAATCAGTTCGATCCCAATTAATTTGAAATTTCACACATGAAGATTAAAAAAAATGTAGATATATGTCTCAGACAAATATTTGAAGGAGAAATTACGCTACTAAACTTTCAAGTTTTTTAAAAAAAGACACACACAACATGAACCATTTCCACCACATTTCAGCTGCAAAGGAATTCTTGCTGCAATGTAATGTAAATTGGCCATAACCTAAATACCAATAACATTAAATCACCAACTGTGGCCAAGGGAAGCGGACGCAAGGGCAATACCTACAATCAAAAAACTTTTTGACTTATTTCTCTTGAGTAACTTCCTGATACATAGTTGAGGTGTTTTTTCAATTGTTGCCAAAAATTCGCGGCTCAAGCCAACCAAAAATGACCAACAAATTAAGGTATATAAATCATACGAATATGTACAAAATGTAGGAAAAACACCAGTGAAGAAAAATATTCCTCTGAAATGAGCAGCACAGAATTGAACGATGAAAATGGTCTGAATCTGACTGTCGATCGCTCTACATTATATCATCATCCATACATTTCAACAACATGCCAATCGTTGAAAAATTACAAATATTTAACAACTGAACTCAAGACGAAA